AAAATGTAATGATTTCAAACAAAACAAGGAATAAATAATTTTATAATCATGATTGTGTTCATTGAGCTATTATGTACTACGTACTAGAGGAGACACTGCATTCAGCTACTCTGTTCCACTCAACTGAGGTGCATGCACTGCACTTTAATCAGTCACTCTAGGGATGCTCGATGTTGCAGAAACATCGATGATGACATCGATGTTGATATCGATAGCTTAACATCGATGTTCGATGTTTATCGTACTTAAAACATCGATGTTGGCCATTATCGATGTTATTGCACATGTACCTACTACCTACCTAATTAGTAGGTTAAAATTAGATAAACAAAAAAATTATAGTGTAGTTTATAGTTTATTACTAATGAAATGAAAGAAATTTATAAAACATTTAGTTCTAAATAGTAATTTAAAAAATGGGCAAAACTTAACAAATGTTTAGTTCATTTGTTATATTTTTTGCCGATAATGATTAATGTTATTATTTTGATCTTCAAATGTTCCTATACAACCAAAAATCTACGAAAAAATTTACTATGAGACCTAATTAATGATTTAGACGTATGTTCTATAGTTACCACTCCTATCACGAAATAAAAAAAATCTGATTATGGAGGGCGAATTAGCAAACGTCACAAAAACAAAATATTAGACTTTTCCGTCACCTTTGTTCACTATTTTTTCTCAGACAGCCCAAACAATAAGTATCCACAGCCGTTTATAAAATGCACTGTAAAATGCACTATGCATTGAAATTTTCTATGCTCATAATCGCCCAGTGATTTATTTTCATAAAGTACAAGCGAAAAATAAACTCATTAGCTCAAAAAACAGCTAAATATAATTGGATCGTGTATATTCATACTGTTTCAAAATTATGTGTGTATAGACAGCAAGAGAAAAAACATTATTTTTATATCAATTTATGTAGAATAGTTATTAGGTGACAATGATACCACAGAATAACAAAGCGAAAGCAGTGACATTACGGTTCACACTTGAGAGGGAGTTTGACACAACATAATGATATTTTTCAGGTGATTGATGCCTTTAAGAATCCTAAATTATTCAAAATTTTAAACCTTTAATAGGAGATGAAATATTTAGTTGATATTGATTTCGCGGGTTCGCATTGTTCACAAGTTCTTATTAATCAATTATTGGCTCATTGACATCGATGTTTCGATGTTTGAGATGTGGTATCATCGATGTTACGATGTTTAGCATGTGGCAACATCGATGTTAAAACATCGATGTTTTAATTTCTAACATCGATGATCATCGAACATCGATGATCATCGAACATCCCTAAGTCACTCGCTAGGCGCTTGTAGAGTTGTCACGTGTTGTGTTGATTTAAAAAAAATCTCTTGATAAAAATATGCCGTCTTGTGTACTTAGATATTGCACAAATAATTCAAGAAATGTCAGTAAAAACCAAGGAATTACTTTTCATCGGTTAATAAGATACTTATTCAATAAAAAAGTATTATAAATTAATAATAAAGCAAATTATTCCTAAGACGCCATCTCGTATCATTGAATATAGATTATGAAATTAATATGTTCAGATGCGACATTTCTGTGGGTACTTAAGTTTAGGACGAATATATTATTATACTACACATTTTTTTTGTAGAAACATATAAGTTATTATAATTAAGCTAAATTTTTCATGTTTAAATCTGCTTATTATTCTTTTATTTTATTTTTAGGTTTCCACTTCAAAGTCAAAGTGGAATAAATTCGTCCATTTTTAACTCTCGCGTGCCCAGCATTTATGAACGATTATTTACAACATTTATGATTCTAATTTAAATAAATATATTTGTAATTTAAATTTTATGTTAATAAGTTTTGTTAAACATACATTTAGTACGTTTTTTTTTATATTTGACATAGATACCTTTTAAAATATTCAGATAACAATATCATCAAAATGTAATTCTGACATAATATTATGTAATATTATATTAAATTAGCACATATACAAAATAAAAAACAATTTAAAAAATTGTAAGTACTCGATATAATTAACAATACAATATAAATGAACAATTATTACATACTGACCATTCTACTTACGTATAATCTATAATAACAAAAACTGACCGCGCAAGCGCAAAGCGCGTTTATACCAACTGCGCATGCGCGACTCTACTATTACCGCGCATGCGCGAAGACATAGAAGTAGCGCACAATTTTTGTTTGGAATAGCTTCTCTAGTACGTAGTACATTATAACTCAATGATTGTGTTATTTGTATTCCTAATATTATGTGTAGTCTTTAAAATATTTAGCAAGCTTTGCTAAAGAATTAACATATTTATTAATTTAAACCTTTGAATTGTAACTTTATTTTAAAATATTAAGATAAGTTACATAAGCCACATGTATTGATTGCAAATACACGATGTTTTTGGACTAGGTGGTTGTAATAAATGCTTACTTCAATATGCACTGGTAGTCTATCAACAGAATTAATAGGCTTTAAAGCCTCATAGAGTTCTTTACGCAAATACAAAACAAACTTTGAACATCCGAAACCGGCGTATAAATTCGTTATCGGAGAATTCCCATAGATTAAGTATTCTGATCACGTATCGATCACTGATGTAATTTTCTTTCTTGTTTTTCAATTTCTGACACGAAAATGTAGTTGCGAAAGGCTCGAGACATCTTTTTTGTATTAAAATGGTTTGAAGATAAACTTAAACCCACGTCCGCGAAAGAGGATAAAATTGTCCCTTTCAAATGTCAAAAAGGGATAATTTTTTCTCTTTCCCTTGGCCCCATGCTACGGACGGGGAGATATATGTCTACTCGTTATGTCAAACGGGGATATACTATAGAGATAAGATAATTTTATCTCTTGTCAGTGGATATAATCGGGGGATATAATTTTTGTCTCTTGCCCATGCTCGCAGGGTGGATAAAACTAAGCAAGGGATAAAAATTTTATCCCTTCCCCGGGCATATATTCTCCGGCCGGATATATGCTAGCCCGGCAGGTCTTTACAATTATAACAATACGCAACAATAATAACGATATATTTTTCTCTATGTAAAATCAGAATTCTAAAATAGTTACTTAATTTTACATTCACTTAAACAGTTTTAAGTTCATTGGTTTTTAAGTATTGTATTACGTCCCACACAAACGTATGCAATAATATTGTAGGTGTTTTGTGTAGGAGATAAATGTACGTTCCTTTTGCGAAAAAGATAAGTATTAGTTGTCCTTTTTAGTAAACGTAAAATGAAAAATTACAAAAAAGGAAGTATCGCTATCCTAATTAACAATTTTTTAAATCTAATGTTTCAAATCATAGATTAAAAGAAAGTTAATTCTGTCAGTGCTCTTGTTACATTTTGTTGTTTATAAGTATCGAATAAAATTAATAATTTGATATGACTGATAGAAGAGTTCGATTGAGTCATTATGGCTACTGGTAATTTCTACAGAATGAACAAATTTCAGTTCCGGCGGCAAATTTTAACGAAGACAAGTATGTACGCAAGCACAGGTGCATTTTCAGCTCCCTCCATCTCATAGTTCCATGGCACGGCAATCCGACACGACCGGAGAGTGGTCAGGCGTTGGGCCAACTGGTTTACGTTCTTTCCGATGCATAGGGGTAAAACACCGCCAACTATCAGAGTTCGAACTGTTACTTAGGATTTCTGGGAAGAAAAACCCAGAAATTAATTATTTTTCTGACCCGAGTTCAGTCAGAATCTAGGGACACGTGTTAAGCAGTTAAACTTATGAACCCTAGACTAAACCGATAAGGCAGTTAGTTCGTTAGAGTTTGGCAGAAAATTTTCTTAGATAATAAGGCTCTTTTTACCTAGAAATCTGTCTCATCTCTTGGAGGTAGTAATTATAAAAAAACTTTGAACAAAAAGTAAAAGTCTTCAATAAACTGAAAAAAAAATTTATACATTTTGAAGTCGGTGCTAAACCGGCTTCGCACGGGTGATTTATGGATCTCGACAACAGCGCCACCAACCGGGTCTAAATGAGAATATAAACCATCTAGAGAACCATTCAGCAACACACAAAAAATGTAATAAAATTGGTTGGATAATTTCAAAGTATCTAACAGACATTGCTAGAAATATTTTTTGTGTTTTATATACATAGATAGATTGAAAAATTTAAAGCCTTGACTTCGGAATGTGATATTATTTTGTTCTTTTTAGTTCTTTGAGTCGGCTTTAATTTTTCACTAAACAATGTCAGGGGAAAAGTAACATTTAATTACTATTTTTCTATCTTTGGTATATTAAATAAAAAAGAAATCTTCAAAATCGGAGCTCAGTCAACGACGATATCGCGTAACATACAAACAAACAAAACATACAGTCGGATTATGAAACTCCTCTTTTTTGAAGTTTGCTAATAAAATAATCTGAAATGGTAGGTGGTACTACTTCTCATCGTATTGCATAATTTTTATTATATGTATATTGATTTATAGTTCCCCTCCATACAAGGTTTAAATACCTACTATTTCTCCTCTATTATAAAGGCGTTTTAAAAATAAAGTGCACACGTAAACGTTTAGCCACTACACTAACGAGCCATAATATGTATACTTGATAAAAGTTAAACAGAGAAGTTTTTTTTTATATATCATAAATCATAATTCATAATGGTTGTATGTATTTCATACGCGTGACCGTAAAATGAAACGTAGATACCAAAATGTCGGTCTGTCAAATAGCAGCTGACTGACAATGACAAATGTCAAATTTTGCAGCAACTTACAAAAATACACGTCAGTGTTTCGGCTTTTTAAACCGCAAATTATCAAAATCTTATAAATTAAAATTAGTGGCTGAATGACTTGTTAGGTAACTTTGTGAGCTTTTGATTAAACAGGTTTTCAAAATCTAATTAAGTTAGGCAAAATAACAAAAATTCAAATCTTACATTCAAGAATTAAGGTTAAATATTTATTTTAGTGTTTTGAACTTTCCAGGTTTGTATCGACATGGAATTTGGAGGAATATCAATTTATATTTTTTTTATATCAATTTCAATTCCTTTGGTTATTGGGAACATACAAGCGCCTGCTTTGAACCCTAGTGTATTAACTCAATCAAAAAATCTCGCTGACTGTCAGGCTTGCAAGTTATTCATCGAATCATTCAAAAAAGGCTTGGAACGTACGGCTAGAGGGAAATATGAAGGAGGTGATACAGCATGGGAAGAAGAAAAGTTGAAAAAGTCATATAAGCGAAGTGAAATGCGTCTTATAGATATTCAAGAAGGTGTCTGTAAGGAAGAGAAAACACATTCTGTGCAATGTCATCATATGGCTGAAAAAGCTGAAGAGTTTATAGAAGAGTGGTGGTCACAAGACCCTGATGAATCAGCTGATTTATACACATATATTTGTATTGACAAAATGCAAGTGTGTTGTCCCATACACCATTATGGCAAAGCTTGTGCGCCATGTCCTGGAGACCATGCCAATATTTGCAATGGTAATGGAAAGTGTAGGGGTGATGGTACTAGAAAAGGAAATGGGACATGCCTATGTGATCCAGGTTACAGTGGAGAGAATTGTGAGCATTGCAGTACTGGATACTATCTATCATACAAAGACGATAATAAAATGTTATGTTCCCAGTGCCATAGGTCTTGTTTAGGAGGTTGTCGTCAAGGCACGCAGAAGGATTGTGTGGCATGTAAAACAGGCTATACATTTGATACTGAAGAAGGTTGCTTAGATGTAAATGAATGTGATGATCTTAACAAATGCAGTAAGAATCAATTTTGCGTAAATTCCATTGGCTCATATGCTTGTATGTCTTGTGACAAGTCTTGCGATGGTTGCCATGGTGACGGGCCAGATATGTGTAGAAAATGTGCTAAGGGTTATTCTAAAAAGGGAGAATTTTGTATTGCTGATAGAGAAGACGAGGATCAATCTGAGAAACTTACAACAACAAGGTAATATTTTACAAATTTATTATCTTGTTATTTATATTCGGTGTAAGTTGTTTAATTTTATGAATTTCTTACAGAAAAGAGGAGCTGTAAATCATTGAATATTTTATAGGTAAATTATAATTTTATTTTTGGTGTCGGGAGTTTAATTATTGTATTCTAATTAGGTGCTTGTAAAAATAAGCAGGTTACTGGTACATACAATTGTTTTTGTATGCATCATAAAAACAGGTTTACTACTATTTTAGGACTACTGGATATTTTCCTCATACTGATTGGTACCAACCTATACTGACTTGTATATAATGGTAACTTGCTTCTTTATACAAGCGCCCTTTGAAATTATCATGTTATGTAGTTTGTTCGATATTTACTTATTTATTTGAACACCAATATAATATCATTGCAAATAGGACTACATATTGGGTTTGTAAAGCTTAGTGCTATTATAATTATAGATGAAGACTACATACAATAAAAATGAGACAAGAAGTAACAGGAAGGGGTTAGATATTCATATTTGTCATTTAAATAATAAACCTCATTATTATATAGTAAATAGTAAGCTTTAGAGTACAGTTATTAACATTATTTTACATAATTATATTCATCTCCACAAACTAACTTTGCTACTAGATATTTTTTGTTTTAAGCTCAGTACAGACTATGCTATACCGTTCTGCTGTATAGTACAGTACATTGCTTCATAAGCAAGCAATCCAATACTATATAGCACAGCATAGTTTGTACATGTCCATTAAATGAAAGCAGAGCAACTTTACTGCCTATATAAAATGTCCTATACTCTGTTATAGCATAGTCTGAACTGAGCTTAATAGTATATCAAAAAGCATAGCAACAAAATTTTACTATGCTAATATGTAATATGTATTATTTTTCAGGTACATGACATATGTAGGTCTTTTAACAGCTACAGGCATACTGCTACCAAAGTCCACGACACTGGGAAGCATAGTGGGTTTTATGGTATTGTCATATATAGTTGGGGCAGAGTACTACTGCATGATCAATGGTCATGAGGGCTTAGTGAATCTTAAGGACTTTGATTTGTCACAATTATTCCGTACATAAAAATTCAAGCATTTTATTAAAGTCTGTTTTTCTTGACTTTGTACTCTGAAGTACGTATAGCTCTTTGCATTATCAATTTGTTAACACCCAGGTTGATATAATATTCAATGTAATGTATTTTGGAATCTTTATAGCAATAAGGGACTTCAATCCTAGTATTTTCCTATTTATTTATATGTCCATGTGCCACTATTTAAGTAAATAGTCAATATGTATGTAGTTATTGGAAGATACGTGATTGCATCTGTACATTAGTGAGATTTTATGCTAATTGAGTGGCAATTTATGTCATTATACTTAGTGAGAATTTGACATAAATAATTTAAAATCTAAGTATTTGTTTTTGCTAATGTGTTATTATATTTGTAAATAAAGTTGTGATCAATCATTTTTAAAATTAACAAACAAAGTTATGTTAATATTAGGTAGAAGATTGAACAGTTGGATCACAAAGTGGTTGCATTATCCAGTCACGAGTTAAAATTCTGGGGTCAATTACCAATAGAGATGTGGTAGGGCCATGCTTCAGCTATATTAGTAGTATAGTTGTAGCATAAATGAGCCGGCTCGAATAGGGAAGGACCACACTCTCACAAAATACTTCTGTAAAGTAGCTCGACGCTGTTGTGTTTCATATGGTGAGTGTAGAGAACCGGAGATCTTTTTTACTGTAAACAAGGCATTCCATTTAAGTCTTCAAGGGAAACAATTTATCTGCATTTTCATTTGTAATTGAGTGGAGATGTCTATGTGTCACGCAACTACTTACCATCAGGTGGACTGTGTGCTCGTTTGTCTCCATTATAATATTAAAAAGGAGAGCCCAATATTTCATTAAAAGTGATTACTGCATAACTTGATTTTTTTCCCTTATCTTGTACTCTATATTATATTACTTTCACCTGCCAATATTAACACATAATCATAAGATCAGATTACCTTGTTGACTTTGGCACATGATTTTGTGTAAACAAAAAATTTTCTTATATAATATTGCCTTAAATATCAGATATGTAATTCCATTGATAAAGACTGTCAAAATCCACAATATCTACTACCCCATATTGTTCCATGGCCGTAGGTGTCGTGAGAGGCAAGGGAGGGATACAAAGTAAGGGATGAGCAGTAGCACCCCTCTAATAACAATTAAAAATAAAAAAAATTGCAGTGTGCCTGCCATGTGTGGCAACTATGACAAAAGTACCCCTTATGAGGCAATCTGTGGGGAAGCAATGTTCAGCAATGGACTTTATCGCCTGTATTTATAAATGAATAAGACTGTCAAATGCACTTGTTGTAATATTCTAATTTAATTGTGCATGCACGTTGTTTACATAAAGCTTCATGCTAAAATAAACAGGGTATATAAATTTATAGAGGCTTAAAAGCCCTGTCTTTCCCTTTATACCAATTTAATATCAGATACTGGAATACTTACATTTATGTTAATTATATGTCAAAAACAGATAAGAAAATTAAATGTTATTTGAAAGTTGTCGCAGTGCATGTTACAAACAACCAGAATACATCAACAAATTACAATTCGAAATCAATATTGTTGATTATTACTCTCTAGATTTTGTAGGTTCCAAATAGAGTGAGCTTTTTTTCTTTATAACTGTCTCAATTTAATTAGCTTCTTTAGGTATAGCTAAATAATAAATTAATTTTTGCACTAATTTATATTTAAATCTTCAAATATTTCTAAGAATAATTGATAAAATCAATATTATCTGCCTGCAATTTCATTCGTTTAGGTTTAAGGAATGATGTAGCTTTTATTTTAATGAAATTTGGATGAGAAACCTGTTAGTAGTTCTAATGGTAGCAGGTCTAAAGCTAATGTATAAAGGTATATTTATATTTATACACATAAATGTACTACACAATTGCATTAAATATATATTTTAGCCAGTGACACTTTATATTATGTTATGGTATCTTGACATATAAGTTTATTTCTGTACCTGTGTGTATTAATGTATGAATAAAGTTGGTACAATGTTTGCCGTTTGGTGAGAGAAGCCTTCACCCTGTTTCAACCCGTGATTGTCGTAAGAGGAGACTATGGGAAATTGCAGAAAAATCTTGTGATAATAAATAAAAGTAATGATTCTGATTGGTAGGACCCAGACTAGCGACAGGCAACGTTAAAGATCTGGTACTGCGATAATCAATTGCCAATTGCCAAGCTTGGCGATTAAGGTAAATCCTTACTACAACAGGAGAGACTCATGTCCGGCTGTAGACTGCCAGTTGACGATGAAGCAGAAGAATATAATAGACTACACACATGGTCAGCTGAACTGATCATTCCAATTGATATTTAAAACTGACAATTGATATATGAAAAACTCCGATATAGATATATTTATAATTATCGATGTATCGAAAATCCGATATTTAAAAAAAATCAATAGTCCTAGTTTGAACTTATCAGTTGAACTGACCGTGTGTGTCGTCCATAAGAGTTACGTAAGTCATAATTGGAATTCTCAGTTACCAATGTTCGCCAAGTAATTAACTGTGTAATATAAATAGAAACATTTAAAAATGTCTGTCATTAAAGTTAAGACTAATGAGACATAGTGATATTTTTGAACTTTTTTGTATTTTTTAATATTTTGCCAAAACTTGGTTTTGGTTTCGGTTCTAATTTTAATGTAAACAGTATAGATATATTTTTCAACGTATTGCACCGTTTCCTATTTTCAAGCTCAATGCACCTGTTTAGTTAGTACCTTGTGTGTTGTGTTTATTTAGCAGAGCCTTATCTGTTGTGAGATTTTATGTAGGTAATAAAAAAAAATCCTCGTAAAATGTGACACTATTAAATGGTTATTTTACTCAAACATGTATATTTCTTTTGGTTTTGATGTATGATTAAACTTATCATCTTATTTATTATTCTTACATTGGTGTTTTTAATTTTTATCAATGATTTGACACAATAATCGTTTGATTAAAACTACTTTTACGGATTTTATCTACTTCCACCTGCTCGGACCATAAATAATAATTAAAAAGCTGAAAGTACTCTGGGTCAACACTGATATCAGGACTTTAGTCACCTCTGTCCTAAACGTCGGGAATTTATAAATCAAGTAAATTAAACGTGATCAAATCCGTAATAGTAGTTTTAATCAATGTGTAGTGTTCGCGTAAATATACGAAATCGCAATAGTCGATTCCAAATAGTTTAATTAAACCTAGAAGTTCGAATCCATATTTTATGTATAATTTTTTCTTCTTGGCAAATGACCTTTAAACCATTGCGCCAAAAACGAGGAAATGTAATTATGAATTCTATTTGCAAACTGTCTATTTCTCTTGATAGAGTAATAAAATAGGTTATTATATTACATAGGTATTTATTATTTGTTATCGTAAAACATTACGGTCTTTAAGTTGAGATTATTTACAAGATATCAGTTTGATTTTTTTTACTTTTTTAATTTCTAAAATATAGTGTAATGAAACTTGATAAGTGAAACTGTTATCAGTTACTAAAATAGTCTAAACAAGATGCTTACAAGTGATGTACGATGCAGCCACGCTTGTCAATATCGCATTGTAATTCGACCGTGACATACTTTTCATGTTAGCATTTCAAATGAACTTGCCTAAATATGGCATGATGTATAAGCTTTCGGACTAAATAGTCTATCGAAAAAATAGCTTTAAGAGAATAATTTATCCTTGTAAATTCACCCTATTAATCATAATTTTTGTAGGTAATATATTAGCCCACTGTTGATCATAGGTCTTCCTTAAATACTGCCACAAAGTACGATCCAGAGCTACTTATGGCAAAAAATTAATAAATCAATACGTTTTGTGTGTCTATTATTCATCTATGCCTCTTTCTCCCTTATTTTGGTCGCTCGACTTATATTTAAGACTCAACGATTGCTTGACTTATCAGAAACAAACCGTTAGATAGGCAGCAGCGTCTTTCTTATAACAACTAAAAAATTAAAAACTGTGATTGCAGCCCGTCT